TTACTTTGTTGTAAATCACACTACAATAGTACATATTGACTGAAAGGAAAAGGGGGCTAATCCTGCATTTAGGTAAAAGATACGGGTATGACTGTAAAGTTTACTATGTAATAAAATTGGTATAGTAGTGATGGGCTTAATCGGTTTTTAATGATATTGACAAATAGTCGGCTCATTATACTTATTGCATCGTACTTGACACTCAGATACCAAAACTATGTCGAATATAAAACGAATATTCTGCCCACTCCTTCTAATTGGAATATCCATCATAAGACTATAGTTTGGGGCGAAATATCTTGGACTGACGAGGTTGCTCTTCGAAATCTTCAGCAAATCCAAGAGGATGCTGAGATTCATGGAGGAGCTCGGATGGCACGAGTAGGACCCTGCACCCACCACACGTCTCGTTATACTATAAAGTCCTATACGGGAGTCCGTGGCTACACTTGGAAAGTTAACAGCTGCCGGTTATCATTTTGTGACGAAGCGTGAAACTTGTCGTTAGTAAAACCGGAGCAAAATAGAAAACACCTATCGATTTTTGTATTTATTTAATAATTATAACAATTTAGCCGCGTCAAAACAAATTAATAATATGTCCATAAAAAGCGACAGCAACAAGCAACGTGTGGTAACGGGAAAGTTACCGACTAAGTGAGAAGGTTCAGTAGATTTCTCACAGATGTGATGTCGAAAGCCGTAGTCGTAGTCTGTAACAGACTCATAGAAATAATTCGTCAACGTAGCAAACACGACTTGTAGCTTAGTTGGTAAAGCAATGGGGACGGAATCCCGTGGTCGCAAGTTCGAGTCCTGTCGAGTCGAAGGATTTGTTCCTTGTGTTCGATCTTTGTATTTGATAGTTATAACAATGTAGCGGCGTCATTTCACAAAAAATAAAACAAAAAAGCAACTTTAACAAAACCTACTTTTCCCGCTAAAAAGGCGTATTGGAGACACTTAATACTTAAGGCCGACTTGACTCGCGCCGTGATTGGTCCATAGGGAAGCTACAGTACTTCGTATTATCAATTACGAGTTATTACGCTGTTATTGAATATAAGCTTATCATTGAATATAAGTTTTTAGTGGTAGGATTTACACGCTGTGGAGTACAGTCAGAGCTCCGTCACTCGCTCGAGGTTACGCGGAATCGACTGACTATCGTTGAGTGTATCGCCGGCGATGCAAGCGCTTAGACAAGTCTTTCATTTACATTAGAAACCTTGTACAACGCCTGCTTTCGATTCAGCACAACTGCACACGGCGTGCAACATTATTTTCACCTCTCTGAGCGCGTGCTTAGATTGCTTTTCCTTGTAGTGAGCGCCTGGTGTCATAAGTCAGATTTAGTAGGCTGTTATAGTCTAGGTATTTTCGATTTTATATAAGAGTGGTATATCTGTTGCGCAGTGGTAGTCTTTCATGGAAAATTTTAGGCAAGGCGGTGGAAGTCGAGTTATATTGACGCCTCGCCACTGTTATTTAGTTAAGCTTCCTATATATATCAACTATGATTCTCGTAAAACCTAAGTAACAATAACAATGTATCAAACAACCGCATCATTAACCTGGTTTCAAACAAGGCAATTCCCTGTACTACACATATCTAAACAACACAATAACCCGCAGGCACTACCCACATTAGAACCAAGGAAAAGTCCGTTTCCAAAATTAGTCCTACCGGGAATCGACCCTCCGACCCTCCTCATTGCTAAAGGTTGCCTCATCTAAAGATTTAATTTTTTTTTAATTAGTTGAGCTAGATTAGATTTCTCTTTGCGCACTATTTTTATTCTCCGCCTGCTTTTATCATTTCTCGTTTTAATACATAAAATTATTAGTAAAATCGTCTGTACCTAATTATGATAAAGTCATCAATCAGTTATATCTAATATTAACGCTAACCATCTCATTTTTCGCCTTATACTTTACACATAATATTATTCCTAAAGCCTTTTTCGAGTGGTACAAGCAGAAATCAGTCTCTGTTTTTGGTGAAATTTCGGTTGGCAACAAATTTTTTTTTATATTTATCAAGTGACGGGACGAACAAGTCGTGCGTCTGATGGTATGATGGTAAGCTACACGCCTGTCCATAACTCAAAGCTTTAAGTCACAAAAAAATGACACTGCCACTGCGCCAGTCTACTTGATACATCACTTGACACGTCCCATATGCCTGTAATTTCACCAGCACCCTTACCCAATAAAACCGGAACAGAGTAATGCTCACATTACCGCTTGCCGGCAGAAATAGGTAAGGTGGCAGTACTTCCCTGGACGAATTCTTTCACATGAAGCTCTACTACTACTAAAAACTCAGCATTGTGGTTTGAAGAACTTTTTCCTTTCTTTTAACGACTCATTAATTTTCGGTGTTCACAACGTGTGGCGGTTGCCCCATGTTCTGTGTATATTACTATCAGATAGCGTATTGCGTAGATCGGGGCGAACATTTCACACTGTCTGCACACGCTGTTCTAAACCAGCGTTTCCCATTTGGTGGGTCGCGACCCGGTACCTGGCCATCGAAATAAAATACCGGGTCGCAACATTCCCGCCTTGCTGAAGTGGATTCTTTGGCAAAAAATAAGCAGCAGCTCCATACTTCGCACTAAATAGGCGATACCGAAATAAAAATTAATGAAACATGTTTATTAACAATAAATGTGTATTATTTTATTTAATGTAACCCCAGCTTGGGTTTAAAAGTATTGAGTGGGTCAAGAGAACGCAGTATGAAAATTACCGGGCCATGGCAGAACAATGTTTGGGAAACACTGTCTAAACTAAGTCTTTCATGCATATTGTAACTATATATCACTAAATGTACCAAATCAGAGCACTAAAAACGCATTAGATCGCTGGAGATGTACACAAGTAGCGATAGTAGCGTTTTTTTTCGTTTTCTTTTTTATTTTCGCAAAATTTTTTTCTGCGCCAGATGTTTTATAGCTGGTTGCAGTGTGGGGTCATTGTGTTTAAACCTTTTAGATGCCGAAAAAATAATCCTTAAACAGTAGGGCCTGTTTTCTTCAATACTTATTGTACACGTTCGGAATTCTTAACTTGCTCAATACTTTTGGCCAAGGCTGTATGTCTGAGTGCCGTACCTACTTTGGATGGGACGTTGGCGGGCCGGATTAAAGCCCTTTGCGGACCGGTGTAGGCCCAAGGACAGTACTTTGCTGCCCAATACTGCTCTAGACAATGATATTGGCACATTGACAGTGCCCGGAGTGCTGTACATAATTTGTATTCAAAGATTTTAGCACAACAGTCACGTCTTTATATTTTGGTCGTCGCCTATCTTCCTAATTTAGCCTAATGACATCAACATGGATACTATGTTCACGTAACTTGATTTGTCAGAAATATTTTCGTTAGTAACAATATTTCGAAATGATTGAGGAAAACCGTGAACCCTTGTCGAAAATTATTTTCAATAAAATAAAGCGGTACTGCTTGGTACGGCACACATCGTTCGTTGATTCTTGAAACTGAGTCGCTAACCCCGGCCGACTGTGCCATTGTATCTTTTTTTTAAATAAAACTAAAAGGATTTCCTCTTGACCACTTCCTAACCTTGAAGCAAAGATAGGATGATGTAACGATGTAACGAGCTCGCCCAGAAGAGCTCCTTGTGAAAGAGTTCATCTAGGGTAGTACTGCCACCTTACCCATTTCTGCCGCCAAGCAGTAATGTTAGCATTACTGCGTTCCGGTTTTGAAGGGTAAGGGTGCTGGTGAAATTACAGGCACATGGGACCTGGCAACTTAAGTCTCAGGGTGACGGGCGCAGTGGCAATGCCCCTAAGATCGTCGCGATTTAAAGCTCTGAGTGGCTCTGTAACTGTTACGGACAGACGTATCGCTTACGACTACACCCACGATTTGTTCGTTCAGTCACTTGTTATCATAAAAAAAAACAAATATTCACGAATGTAAGATATATTCCGGAATATATTAGGCATTAATAAACAGTAATCGTATTTGTTTCAAGGCAAGTCGACAGTCCTCGTTTCCATTTAGCTTGAGGTTTGATATGAGCTTATTTAAGCCACAGCGCCCCGTGAGAGTTTTTGTTGGCGTTCGTAGGCTTCTTATCTATATAACGTCTCTTAACGCTGATAAAAAGCTTTCAATTTTCGTGCCCTCTTTTTCATCAGTTCTAATTTTGCTTTGTTTATGAAAGCGTTGGAAAAAAGTTTCGGAAATTGTTTACCTACAATGAAGCGTTTCTCATATTGAACAGTGAGAGAGATAATTGGAAAGGCGTCAAAGTAACAACTAGGACTTTCATCGGGGAATCTCTGGCATCAAAACTCTATAGACTGATGCTTGCAGTCTCGGGAATATTAAGGCTTTGGAAAATTAAGTCCCTTAATTAAATTGTTTTAAAGAATGTGTTAGACCATTTTTTATTTTAAAACTATATTAAATGCCCCTTGTTTCTTACGTGCCCCATGAAAAAATAAGTTTTAGTAAATTTTTTTGTTTTTTTTTTAATTTTAGTTAAATATCATTTTTGACTGGCAAAATGCCTATAAGTCCACAAACTTACTAAAGTCTTGAAAGTCTCATTTTTTCCGGTGTTTTCGAAACCGCACTCTCAATTTTTTTTCTCGGTTCGCGGAAATGCATCAAGTTAAAGGGTCGTATTCTAGAACTCTACTCAATGCGCAAGTCAGGACTTGAGTATGATTCAAAGCACTAGAAATCATACTCAAGTCCTTGCCATTAGGGTCGTATTTCCAGTACTTGAAATCATACTCAAGTCTGCTCAAATCCTAACTTGAGCATTGAGTAGAGTTCTGGAATACGACCCTGAAAGCCCGCAGCGCAACGGTTTCAAAGAGATAAAATCTCACATGGTACATGTAAAAGTGAATTATTAATGCAATGACATTGTAAAGAATCGTACGCCTACTCAACAGTTCCTTCAATACGCAAGTCACGTTTGTAAAATTTATATTACGATTGTCCTTTTACAGCGCTATGGGAAGAACAAGAGGCGCCAGAATACGACATCGATTCAGAAGACGAACTGTGGCTCAAGCAACAACGGCATCCGGAGCTCACCGAACTCCTGTTCGAGCAGATGATGGACAAGCTGGAAAAGTGCTCGGGGCAGACTGTCGTCACTTTGAACGAGGCAAAATTGCTGCTCGAGAGGAAGGACGACTTGGTCATCGCCGTTTACGATTACTGGCTTAACAAACGACTCAACACCGTAAGTGTACATTAAACGATGCCACTGGGTTTTAGCGTAAAGTGCACATTAAGATCCCCCCTGGGTGTTAGTGACCCAACGATAAAATATAACATAAAACAAACTAGGATAGGGTAATATTGACTAAGAACGTGGTTTTTGTGTTGTATCTCTGGTTTCCACTAATGAGGGACGGAGAGAGGTAACCCTAATAGGCATTGTAGAGTTCCTAAAATGAAGCACAAAATGCATGCTGATACAGTTTACAGTGTACCGGTAAAAGGCTTCGATATCGATTGTTGCAAACTCAATAATAATCTCAATAATTATTTTTTGATCGTCGATGAGAACCTGCCGAGAGGCACTTGGCCAAGTGGACGTGTTGTTGCTGTCTCCCTTGGCAAAAACTCAGTGGTAAGGGCGGTGGACGTAGCCATTGCAGGACGATTGCTTCGGCGGCCTTCTAATGTGAGTTGAACTAATTGGGTCTGTAACTTGACAGCTTCATCGGCTCACTATCGTACGTTGTAATTTCATTAAGAATACTACGTTCTATACTGAATAATCTCCATTTCCTGGAAACTAGGAATTTTAGTAACTTTGTAAACACAGCCTTGTGTCCTTTCAGCAACACCCGTTGATCCTGACCGTCAAAACGGAGAGCCGGCCGGGGCAGTCCACCAACAACCCCTACCTGGCTTTCCGACGACGCACAGAGAAGATGCAGACCAGAAAGAACAGGTGAGACAATCGGCTAGCTACTAGAAGATTCTCGAACGTTCTGGAGATTTCTAGAAAATTATGAAGAGGAATCTGATACCTTTCATAGATTTTAGATTTTCAGAGCGGTGCTTTATTTTACTAGTATTATTGAATTTATACTAATACAATGAAATTTCAGGAAAAACGACGAAAGCTCCTACGAAAAGATGCTAAAGCTGCGCCGGGATCTGGCACGGGCATTGACCTTACTCCAACTTGTGGCGAGACGCGAACAGGCCAAGCGTGACCTCGTGCGGTTGACTACGTCGCTCGCCGATAAACGCTTCCAGGCCGGCGACTTTGCCAATCAGCTGTTGCCTGAACCACCACCCAGGTATGTGTAATATAATCGATTTTAGCTTTACAAATACTACGTACCACGATTACGTTTAACTAAGGTAAACGACTCTTTTATTGGGAAATGTATATGTTTTTACAATAAGATTCACGAACATAAATATTACCTACCATTATCATTTCCTAAGTTTAAAACTTACATCAAAGTAATTTAATTGAAAACTACTTGTTAGATAAAGATGTATGGAAAGACGACATAAGTCTATATTCCACACAAATACTTTTTTTTTTGCTTTTTTTTATAGCTCTGTACTAGGGAAACTGTATCGCCGGTGCCATGGACACACACATAGACAACCACAAATTAAACCCAAACTCACGAGATTAATAAATGTAGGCCATACAAATATTTCTCCCGGCACGGGAATCGAACCCGGGACCTCTTGCGTGACAGTCCAGCACAGTAACCGTTCGGCCACGGAGGCAGTTAACTTTGTATACGTGTTTGGTTAGTTAGTATTTTGATTTGTCTGTCTTAGTGTTTTTTTTTTGAGGTATAGTTTTTCTAACGGGCTGACCTGGGGACCTGCCATAACCCTTCCAAAAACTATCTTATTTCAATGTAAGCTTAACGTAAGCTTACTATAATATTACTCATATTCGTACCATGACGAACCTGTGAACCTATATTATTGCAATAGTGATCGAAAGAACGATTGATTTCCCAATATTGTCTATTCCTTGCTAAAAATAGGAAAGAGATAACGCTATTTGAACGATATAATGCCATCTCTTTCTTTTTTGATGTTTCGAATCGTGTTATCGTAGAATAATGGTTAAGTACTTAATGTTATTGTCGACTTCCCCGAGAAGAACACCTAAGGGTTGCTCTTTTCAAATCAGTTTAAGTGCTATTGGAACACAATTCCTTTTAATTAACAATTTAAAAAATAATAATTTATTCATTCAAAAACGAAATTAATTACAAACGTTAATCCGCAACGTAGGCTTCGTCACAATGTAAATAAGCAACGCGTTTTTATTAACAATGTTAATTTGCAAAAATTCACTGTGTTAAAATATTTTGTTTTTACAAACGTATGTAGCGTAAATGAGAATGTTCTTTGTGAAATTAAAAATAAGGTATTTTTGAATTAATAATTTTTATATCGGGAGTGTTTTAACCGACTTCACAAAAAGGAGGAGGTTCTCAATTCGACTTATTTTTTTATGTACATATGTTACGCGATAACTCCGACATTTGTGAACTGATTTAGATGATTCTTTTTTGTTGGAAAGAGGGTACCTCAGTTGTGGTCCCGTTGAAATTTGAAGAAATGTTCCACCCCTAAGGGTGGCAAACTAGGAAATGAATCCCGATTCGCACACTTTCCGGTAACCGATTTTAATAAAACTTGGTAAATAGATGTAACTCCACGAACTTTTGAAATCGGCTGTTTTAGCACTCTGTACTGAGATTATTGTTTGTATACAGACCTGTGGTGGGCACTGGACTCGCAGCAGCGCTGCGGCGCGAGCAGCTGTTGCACTTCCCACCCAGACCGGAACCCGCGCCACACGACCTGCCCAGACCTGTGAGTTCAATTTCATATTTCCCACACGACCTAGTGTTTATATTAAAACTGGAGTCTTAAGAAGCACCTATATGAAAACAATTTCGTTAAAATATAGAACCTTATTTACTTTAGGTAAATGTCCCAGGAACCGATAAAGGCTCTTCAGCGCGTACATAATTGAACACAAAGTGCATGCAGATACGATCGAAATTACAGTGTTTTTTCTTCGGTTACCCGTATCGATATACATTTTACTGGTACATTGTAAATTCGACCTTATCTGCATGCTCGTTGTGTTCAATTTCGCACTGGCTTAAAACGATGATCATCTTCGATTCCGGAACTATACGTTACTACCTTTCTTGTCTGCACCACTATTGGTTGTTGTATGAAAGTAAACAATTCCAAATTCGTAAATCTCAATTTTCAAACAAAATATTTAATAGTCATATTCAAAGCGGTCCAAACAATCTTACAAGCTAAGAGCTTGTTTTACGGTGCAAATTCCCTTGCAGCGAGAGAAGCGGCCATACAAGCGACGCAAGCACCGTCATCACGCCGTCGCCTCCACGCAGGGGCTGCGAGGTGAGTGTCTGCTTACCATCGGGACACGAAGTATCACAGGGTCCTTTCATTATTGGAAATACATTGGAACAAAACTTTATTACCATTTGGACATCCTGCTCTGCAGACCGTAGCTCCTCAATCCTTATTCGTCATTGGAGTATTATATCTTATTTAACCCACTATAAGTTCCACTACTGGGCACAGGTCGCTAAGGGGAGAGTGTACGTCATAATTCGCCGCGCTTCTCGCGCTTTCCAGTTTTATGAACTTTCTTCAACATGCAGGTTTCATCACGGTGTTTTTTTTTTCACCTTCAGTGAACTAACTAAACATACTAAGCCAAGTAGCAGTAAGCATGAAATACGCAGAGAACGGGTGCGGCCGGTCGAGCGCGTGTCGGGTCGGGTGCACGGCGGGTGTAATTCCGTGTATTTATATGGACGACAGCACGCCACGCGCTGGTGCGGGACGGGCGCAGGTCGGGTCCCGCGCCCAACCGTTTTTTTTCTCTCTGAAGGATACTCTGCAGTTGGCCGCCTTGACTGCGCCACCGAATGAGTGGGCGAGCTGAGGGTTCTTAACTCATTGAAAATAAACTACAACTAAACTTAAACTAAGTAGCGGGCCTGAGGCGCCTACTCGTAGTGTGTTGTCTCCATGTAAATACACGGAATTACACCCGCCGTGCACCCGGTACACATTCGACCTGTGCCACACTCTCCGTGATATATCCTTCTAAATAAATCACATATCATTGTCAAGCAGTTTACCATGCCAGCCTGCATGCACATTTGATGGAAGTGGGGATAAGTTCGACGATGTAGCATTCACACCTAATTCATCCCTGCTAGTTGGTGTCCAGGTTGTGGAACTTCAGACATAATAACGAATATAAAACACAAATAGTAATCCAAAGACGAAACAAGTAAACTTGTTGGTTAAAATAATGTTAGTTTTACATATTCAAATCCAGGTGTCCCGCAGGCTAACCTCGTAAGACGACAAACAGTACGGTGGCAATGATTTACTTTTTACTGTCTTTCCGGTTGATTCAGTATTGCCATTGAAGTCTCTGTTTCAAAACTGTTTCTGCAAAATTTAACAAATAATTATCACCACTGTAATGGCAACACTTAAAAGTTTGTCAGATAATTGAGGCTATCAGCGGAATAGTAGTGTAACACTCATTCAATTTTTTTCTACAAAATTAAAATTTACTTTAAATGGTACTAAAGTTAATAGTTATTTTACACTAGATGGTGCCCGCGACTTCGGAGTAGAATGAGTGCTTCGACTAACCTACTGTTACTAACTTAAGAAATCATTGGTTCTCCATACATTTAGCAGCAGTAGAGCTCCTTGTGAAAGAGTTAATCCAGGGTAGTACTGCCACCTTACCTTTTTCTGCTGCCAAGCAGTAATGTCAGCATTACTGTGTTCCGGTTTTGAAGGATTAAGTAAGGGTGCTGGTGAAATTACAGGCACATGAGACTTGTCAACTTATGTCTCAGATCTTTGCGATTAGCAGCTCTGATTGGCATTGCAACTGCACCACCAGGCGCTTTTTCGTCTCGTCACTTAATACTATTAAAAAAACAACCAAACTTTCATATTTCCCCCCCTTTTTAAGATTTAGGCTGCTAACAGACTGACTCGTTATCCGTGACCTCGACTGCATGAAGTTGACAACAACTTCACGCATTGACTGCATGCAGCCGAAACTGACGAGTCTTAAGCTCTTCTTATTAAAACGAGATTAAATAAATGATAACGACTTTTTGCTATAGCGCCATCTGTGAGAAAACTATGAAAGTTTTTTTCTTCTTTTTTTGCTTAGTTCAAAACTGTAGTATTTTGCAACACTGTGTCATTGTTTAAAGGCAACGATGTATGTTTATTATATTAATTTGTTAAAATTACTAACATATGAGTTTTATTTTATTTTTTTTTCAATGGGTTAACAGCGACCCATAGATGTTTTAATGCGAATTGGACGAAGGATGTTCTAGTAGTGATGATAAGCGTCGCACATTGCAGAGTCGGGCGTGGGTACATCGTCGGAGGAGGAAGGAGGGCGATTCGCGGGCGCCACGACGGGTGACACTTCGCCTCACGACGACGGCCCGTTCGCCTTCCGCAGGAAACCCGGCTGCTACTACGAGATGGTAAGATTACTTAAATACCACCATCACTTGTCACATTTAATGACTTCGCCCAGGAAAGTGTAGCCACCTTACCTATTTCTGTCGCCAAGCTTTAATGTGAGCATTACCGTGTTTCGGTTTTGAAAGGTAAGGGGTGCTGGTGAAATTACTGTACATGGGACTTTTCCACTTACTTCTCAAAGTGATAGGTGCAGCAGCAGTGCCCCTCAGATCTTTGCGATTTAAAGCCCTGAGCGGCACTGCAACTGTTATGGATAGGTGTGTCGTGTCGCTTACCACCAGGCGCACAGCTGTTCGTTCCGTCACTTGGTGTCACAAATAATTTTTGTCAAAGATGTACGTTACTTTTGGTTATTATTTATTCATAACTTAGATAACTTGGACCCGTAACTAGTTAGGTACAGATGGCAGTACTTCATTCTATACTCTCACGGATCTTGTTCGTTGCACAGGAGGCGATATTTGAACAAAGTGTATTATAAGCTTGATGTGCTGCTGACTGGTATGTATTTATAACTATGTTAATTTTATATAAACGGGGTTATTTGTAAAATACAAAAAAAAAATGTAATAAACAACCTCGCAAAACTATATTACGAACAATAAACAACAACTGTTGTTGTCTCCATGACTTTTAATAAGTCATCAGATTTTATTTTCTTACAAAAATAAAATTATTTATAATAGATTATTTATTTATAATATACAAAAATAAAAAGGGTTTAATAAAAATGTAACGTTTTGATTTTTTTTTCTTTCAATTTTATAGCTATGTTCACACAATTCACAAAATCTACAAAATGACAATTCAAAAATGGCAAATCCGTTATGTAACAATTATGACGGTTATGTTTCGACGAAGTTGTTAAAAGTGACATCAAACATTGCCATAACTTTCCCATTTTACACCAAAAAGCGCAGAAGTTTCTGTATGTGCCCATAATAATATCTAAAAAAAATAGGGTTTCGACTTGTTGCACTATCGAGGCAGTATGCAATATATCAAAGTCTAAGCTTTTCATAACTAACCTGTTACCCGTTTGTTCCAGCCAACAACAACACTTTACGGCGATCCTGTGGACCCTGACAACACCGGCAAGGATGCGATGTTCGAACACGAGATTGATGAAAGGCATAGGTAAGCATATGTCTAATAAATATTGACTAACTTGAACAACACCCTGAATAACCTGTCCAAGTCGAAAAACCCATCCACTGGGCAAGGTAAAAATATGGCCTTATTCAAGGTGACGGCGGTCGCAGGTGCGTGTAAATAAAATGTACGTAGACGCTCGTTGCGTTCACGTTAGATCTATTGTCCGCCCTTACCTTTCGCAATACTTGATTTAGCGTCTAGCGTCTGTTTGCGATTTCGACGTGCGGATCTACCCTCTCATAGTCGCTTCGGCACTGAAAGGGAAGACGTCCCGCACTTGGGAAACCCTATTTCGCGGGTGCCATGTACCACACACATAAGCAACCACAAATTACATCCAAACTCCGGGAGAAATAAATGTAGGCCATACAAATATTTCTCCCGGCCCGGGAATCGAACCTGGGACCTCTCTGGTCCGGTATGGTAACCGTTCGGCCTCCGTGGCAGTTAATAAAAATGAATGAGCCCTATGTGTTGTCTTCATTAAAATATAAATTACAAAATATTTATTATTTATTATGTATATCGGAGTATAACCGTAAGGAAGACATTACGAGAAACGCCCTTATCACTGATTTTGTCAGGAATTAAATAAGAAACGTTCGTGTAATTGACCTATTCAATCTTCGTTATCAATTCGTTCAGCCGGCGGTAAAATAATAACGTTAGTTGATTGCAATTAATTCATTTATCCACTTTTTACAGTAATTATAGTTCGGAAGTACAAACGAAACGATTTTAAATGTAACGCGGCTAGTTTATAGACAGCGGCGGCGCATAACTTCACCGAAATAATAATCATAATTTTACATTATTATTACGAATATATTATTATTATTATGTTACTAATACCTTAATTCGTCATTTCCAGGTATACGCTAACATCGATCTCGCAACCATACTCGTTGTGCGTCGGCTTCGCGCGACGCCGAGTCTGCCGCTTGGGTCGCGTGGCGCTGGACCGAACTGCCACTCCCCTGGACGACCTCTGGCCCAAATTACCACACCAGCACACGCAGTCCACTAGTTACAAGCGCGATCGGGATGAAGAGGTAACTTGTTTGAACTTATCGGTGGAATTGTTTGCCCAGTCTCAATGAATAAGTAAAAAATCTTCTCAACATCTTTTTAGGAGACATCCCAGCTTCTTCTTCGTCTAAATGCGCTTCTTGTATCTAAACCAAACTACTATGTTTTTTATAATTATTAATACAAATTTCGAACATTCAGAAAAAATTCCTTCCATCCGGCGGTATTCTAGAAGACATCCGGCCGGATCGAAGGAATTTTTTCTGAGTGTTCGATCTTTGTATTAATAATTATAGTGGAGTGATTTCACAAAAAAATAATAAAAATCAATTGAATAAAAAATTTAAATACGATGTTTTTGCAATTACATCTAATTGTGATGCTGGTAGCTGTGTGTGATGAATGTTTGAGGTTGAGCGTATATTGTCTTATTGATGATTTTCATAGAGCCTTGGTATTTTACTGTAATGACGTGGATAAGATAGGTGTGAGTATGGAAATGACGGCTGATAGGGGAGAGTGGAAGAAAAATATGTGTTGTGCCGACCCCACCTAGGGTTAAGGACGGGAAGAAGGAGAAGCTGTGTAATTGTGTGAAATAAATAAATGGTAGAAAGGGGGAGGCAGGATTAAATATTTTTCGCCTGTATACAGATTGTAATTATCTATAAACAAAAATTTGTTTTTCAGGTGGAACTGGAAACGAAAGTGCATCGAACGCCAAAAGAAATGTCGCGAGACTACCACTCGAGCGGCAAGCACCCGTGGCGGCACGCCTTCCGGCAGCACCTCGCGCGCAACCCGCATCTCTGGACTAGCGACGTTAAACCCGACCTCGACGTTAAAATGGACGCCGACGACGTCAAAATGGACGTCGACGACGTCAAAATTGATATCGACGACGTCAAAATGGACATCGACGATATCGACAAAAGTGATTTACCTCAAGATAGTGATATTAGCATAAGGACTATTGACGATTTATTAAAAATGGACGATGTTTGTGAAGTGAAGTGTGAGAAAAGTGACTTAGAAGTGAATTGTGAGATAGATAAAGAAGTGAGAAGCAATTTGGAGAGGGTAGTGAGGAAGCGGTCGTGGAGCGGGTGCAGCGACAGCAGCTACGACTCCGACGAAAGTTTACATCCTGTGGAAAAGGAGTTTGAAAAATTCATCACTGAAGTTAATAAAGAATGGTGAGTTCCACTCGTTTTTTATTTTTATTATTATTGCTTACATATAAAACCTTTTTCAATCTATTGATTATCGTGATGTTATAACCTACCATGATTTATAGATATATTTTTTGTGAAAAAAACAAATTCTCTACTTTATTATTGTTATTGATGCTAAGGTACACCAACAAAAAATCCTTTGATCTCATTGACGTGTCATTTCGTCATGACCAAACCGACGTGTTGAGCCAGGCGTGCAATTGACGGTATATTATTTCCAACCAACGTAAATAACGTGAATGTTCTTAATAAGTGAATAAAAACATTCATAGATTTCTCTCGGATGGCGCTATAGGAAATAAGTCGTTAAAACCAAAAATAAAGATCTGCAACAAGCACATAGAGAAATTCGTAAGGCCTGCTGACTCTTTCCATAGCTCAGTTGGTATAGCGGTAGCCCCGGTGTGGCGAAGTCGCTGGTTCGAGTCCAGCTGGATCCAAGGAATTTTTCTTTGTATTCGATCTTTTTCTATTAATAATTATAATGTTCCTAATATGTTTTTATTAAAAGTACAATTTAAAAAATTTCAGGTTACACTTCCGACCAAAGACCCCTCCACCATCCCCCCCACACAACTCTGACGATCAGTTTCCGATCTCCCTAGACACCCCCTTAACCGTCGAACTGCGACCAGGAGAGCCCTCGATTGAAGAATTCGAACCATTCACTACTGCTGAATTCACCTTAGGTGATCTATACGGAGAGCTGCCCGAGGCTGATAACAGTGGAAGCAGTTTGGATATCAGTGGGGATGATCTATTGACGGATAACTTTACTGGTCTGACTGAGGCTCAGGTGGAGAGCATATTATCTGAGACAGGTAAGAAATTACAAGCACATGGGACTTGTCAACATTATGGTCTCAGGGTGGCGGGCGCAATGGCAGTGCCCCTCAGATCTTTGCGAATTGAAGCTCTGACTAGCACCGCAACTGTCATGGATAGGTCTGTTGCGCTCACCACCACGCACATGACTTGTTCGTACCGTCCCCTGATGTCATTAAAAAAAAATTACACTCTCAGAGAGTTTATACTCCGTCCAACCATTTATTAACTTTTGACATATACGAGCCAAAGAAATGCAATACTTCCTGGACTCTTTTATGTTTTAATTTTTGTGAAGCGACGTTCTCTTTAGCTCCGATATTTATTACAGATTATGTAACGAACATTCTTCAAGTTGTTAAATTTTGGTACCTGTCTAATAAATTACAATGAAATGAAATAGATTATAAATTATTAATTCTTGAGTACACAAATTGTCAAAAGCAACATCACGATCCCAATCCGACAATATCTTCTTTTTTGAACCCTCTCACATTGACGATTAAACCTTCTTCATAAATAAAATCGATTGTTTTAAAAAAAATAGAATCGGAAACGCATTAGGACAAACTAATTGATTAAAATTCGAGCTGTCAAAAGTTAATAAATTGTATTAACACACAATAAATTGTAGAAACAAGATATTTACTTTAGTTGTTTTGTATGGCACATACAGATGCAAAAAGAAAGAGAGAGCAATACAAATGTGAAAGGTGTAAATACACATAAGCACAAACATGTCTTATTGATTGGTAGCTGCATAAATATGCAGCTACCAATCAAGAAGCCAATGTTTGTGTTTACAAAGGCTGCTATGAGTAATTTCTAACACTGTCTACCTCAATTCAAAGGCTTGAGTGTTTGTATGTAATTTCTCTTTCTTTCATGTCCATGCCTTAATATGTACTGTGCTGTACTACCGTGTTTCACAAATAAATTAATAATATTTTAATAGAACAACTTACACGTTGTATGATTACGGAATATGGTAGTTATTATAATTTCTTCAGCGTGTAAAAAGTTCTCACTAATTTCACTGTATTATTGTGCCCCAGAAGTCGCTATATTACCGCAACCAGTGTCGCTAGTAGTAGCCGACATACTCAAGTTTTTATTTATTATTGCTAACATGTACAAAATTGCTATGCTACACTGATCTTAAATAAATGAAACGATGAAAAGATTTGCTGAGGATGTGCCAGAAGTACATAGGACATGAATAAATACAACTTCGCTAGGAGGCTCCTTTCGCGCACCCCCAGTACGGTAGTAATAATAAGTTATGATGATAATTTGCAGATCTGAAGTCTCTGGACGCGGAGCTGAAGGACAAAAAGATCGCCGAAGACATCCTGGACGAGCTGGTCCGCGAGGTGGACGGCAAGGAGCCGGGGCGGTCGGGCCCGGGCCGGGCCGGCGCCAAGGGCCGGCGAAGGCGCCCCGCCGACGCGCTGGGCTGCTCGCGCGTCACGCTCACCGCGGACAAGGTCGGCTTGCTCTTCTTCTATTCAAAATAAAATATCGGCTGTGAACTGGCAATCGGTTCTATCTCAATTTTGACAACTTTGCAGGTGAAGAAAAAAATTGTTTGCGCCATTTATATAGTATCTGGTTTATTAAATGAACATACGTAGTTATTAAATTTTTATTACACATGTATGAATGCAACTATGTATTTTTATTTAATAAACCAGATGCTACATAAATTATTTTTTCTTCATTCTGTACAGTTGTAAAAATTGAGATAGTACCGGTTGCCAGTTCACAGTCACTTGCGCGTAAATAGTATTATTGCATGCTGGCTAACTTGACTATAATACCCCATTTAAAACCCTCGCGCCTTTTTTTCCTCTGATTACAGCCATAGTAGGTAGAGTCCTGTCGAAGGATTTTTTCTTTGTGTTCGATCATTGTATTTAATAATTATAACAAAAGTTTCTGCACAAAAAATAAAACAAATCAATAATAAACGAAAATAATTTGAAATTTTTCTTAACACTGTTTTTTTTTGTATGTTTGTACTGGTGGCCGATGATCTCTCTAAAGCCACTAAAATCGCAGACACTCAACACAATATGAATTACTATGATATGAACACGCAAAATAGGCGCCTTGACGTCGAGTTGCGGACACCAGCCCGTTGCACCAAGTACCAAGTACTATGATATGATAGAGAACCTTAACAACAGTTTGTTTATAATTACAATTTTATTCCCAGGAACCAATTTATTTAGAAAAACCAGAACCAGAGATAAAGATCGAGCGGCCCCCGACACCGGTGAAGAAAGTACAAACGCCGGTGAAACAAGAAGTGCCACTGAGCAAAACGGAGAAGGTGGAACCCAAGCCTGAACCTTCGCCGGTGCCTAATTCCAAAATCATCGTTGAAGAAGTCAATGAGGTGCCACAGGTATGTGTTACAAAAAGATATCAGTGTACAAAGAATACATTTACCTATTTAGGTACGATTCAATTGAAATATTTTAAATAATATACAGAGTAGATATTACTGCCGTCAGAAATTCGGGAAGAATTAACAATTAAAGGAAAAACTTTCAAAACACTGTTCAGTAAAGTAATTCTTAGAAGGAGAAGGTATATTAATACATTTCAATATACTAAGCTATGTGAAACATGCTGTTTTTTAATAATATCACATGAGTGTGTGCACACACGGATCTAAGTCAGTCACTAATTTAAACTCGGTGATAGTTACATGGGGCAATTTTAATGATAATAATTGTAAATGTAAATGACAAAGTAATAATTTGAATAACGTGAATACTGGTAAAATTACAGGTACATGGGACTAGTCAACTTATGTCTCAGGGTGACACGGGCGCACTGCACTGTTATAGACAGGCGTGTAGCTTACCATCAGGCGCACGACTTGTTCGTGCCGTCACTTGTTATTAAAAAAAATCGTCAATTTAGATATACTTTTTTTACATTGTCACTATATAAAATCATACCATAAATTTCGTAATTGTATTTATTAGTACACTGCTGTCCATGGGTCTCTTGTAACTAGACAGTAGACGGATATAATTCACGACTGTTCATTCGACTGAATCTACTTTTCCAGCAAATAAAAATCGAGAAGAAAAAACCTCAAGACACAATCGAAGAAGTCCAGCTGGCTCATGGTGTGCAACTGAAAACGGTTCAGACCAAGCATTCTCCTTTGAAGAAGCACATCATCACCACTGGCGGCCGTCGAACCGGCGACATGACGTCACACGTGGCTGTCAGCCAAGCTGTCAGTGCCAGCCAAGCGGACGGTGTGCCGCCCCAGATATTGACAGTATCTGTCTCTGATAGCTTGAAGGTATGTTAACAGCAGTGGTGACCCAGTAAGAGAGCGGTTGTTTCTCAAATGAGTGTTTGGCGGTTCGAATCCCTGTGGCGCCCTGTACAGTAGTAGTAGTCTATTTGGTTCTAAGTAGATCAGTATAAAGAAAGGTGTTAAACAAATTTAACTTTTAAAGAGTCTATACAACCTCAAGTGGCTTTGTTTGATTCCGCATAACAGTGAAAAATCACTTTGGAAAAAATATATAGTTAAATCATTGACTTACAATTATATGGACGTCGGGTCCGCGCTAAAAAGTGTCCGCACTTGTAAGGCGCTAAAATCGTATACAGAGCGCGACACTCCGCTTTAGTCTTCATTTGTTCGACTGACAGCGCGATACTGCGATGACATTACAATTTAAATTTCGAATAGGTTGACTTGGGACATTTTTTTCGTGGTTTTTGTATTAGACCCGTCGTCCATTTATTTGTAAGTCAATGAGTTAAATTGAAGATGTACACTGATTACTATACGGTGTGAAAACACGATTCTTAAAAATATTCACGATAGAAAAAGAACACAAATTTACCTAAAAATTTGACAAGAAAACAGCGGTTTTCTTGTCAAATTTTGACAAGAAAATAAATTTTTATGTAAAGTACCTATTAAATATACCGATATTTAATAAGTACTTTACATATACCAATGATTTTTTTTATATCAACTGAACTAAATAGAATATGATATACATTATTCAAATGGCTTTAATATCGTTTGTAAAAAAAGAAATTTTGAAATGAAGCCAGTGTCCCTGTCGCTCGACCCAAGCAAAATGAACCGGTTCAACAGGAAAAATTTAAATTCCAGCTGTTGTAGTATAGACTTGTACCCTGTACACTGTAAAACTCATTTGGGCGTGACTTTCTTATTACATTATTAGTGAATGACGTTTTAAGAAGCTTTTAAGCCAAAGTAGACAATCTCAATAATGTATTTGACTTCAAGTTTTTTGAGAAAAACTAAAAAGAAATTCAGAGTTACCCGCTTGAGGGTACAATGTTATAAATAGCTGTGCTCAGTTAAGAAGGGTTATTTATTTATTTTATTTATTTATTCAAGCTACGAACAGTCGGTATAAAACAATTATTATATTAACGAAGATACATAAAGTATATATATACCTAGAGTTCCTTAATTTGAAATGCAGTTGGAATCTTAGACTGTCAATATGGAGCAATTATAGTAAGGCTTTACTTTTAGTTTTAAATTTGAATAACGAATTACCGAAAATATCCACATCCATGTACCTGCTGTTGTATGATCGCCAAAAAAAGCTATTGTCGACGAAACATTTCGGTGACTTCTTAATTGAGAAAAGTGTATTCCTACCTTTCAATTTGCAGGGGGTACCCTGAATTGTATAAGACTCAGTAGAGGTGTCGAATCAAATTTATTCTTTACTATTTCATATAAACTGACAGTATCTGTGTAATTCGCGCAGGTGCGGCTGCAGAACCACCTGCTGTCGTCGCAGGCGGGCGCGTCGGGGGCCACGGTGGTGGGGCTGGTGCAGAGCGTGGCCAACGGGCCCTTCGCGGCGCCGCCCGTCGCCGTCGCCGTGCCCGTCGCGCAGAGGGACGCCACGGGTGAGTCCGCCCAACGCAAAATTTCAAATTATTGTAACTAAAATTATTTACAGTTCATAGCGACATCTCTAGCCAGGGCTGGTAGCTGTAAAGGTGCCCAACTGAGTGACGAAATACTTTTCATAGATTTTTCATAGATGGCGCTGCGGCTAAGAAGTCGTCGAAGAACCAAAAATACAAAGATCCGACAACAAGCACAAAGTGAAATTTGTGAGGTGCGCTGGTTCGTTCCGTGGCTTAGTCTGGCACGGTTTGCTAGAAGACGTCGGTTCGAATCCGGAATTATAACAAACTAGTGGAGTAATTTCACAAAAAGTAGTAATTATTTAAAAAAAGTTATTGTAACTTTTTTATAAAAAAAATCAAAATTTCGTGGAAATACAACATTTGCCAAGTTTTATTGAAATCAGTTACCGGGAAGTTTGCCACTCTTGGAGGTGAAACCTCCTTTCCAACAAAAAAATAATCATTTGCCCGGCAGTGGGAGTGTCGGTGGCGGGCACGTCGTCGCCGCGGCGCGTGTCGGCGCCGCTGGTGCAGCTGGCGCCGGCGCTGGCGCACAAGCCACTGGCGCACCCGCCCGTCGTCGTGGCGCAGTCGCACACCATCCACCACGTCGCGCCCAACAAGCTCAAGGTACGTGCCACTACTTGCGTTGCGAAACTTGCTGTTGCTACGAACAAATGTTATTGGTCATAGTCAATAAGCGCTTTAAATTCTGTTTCTCACTGACCTACATAAGTACCGATAACAATACTGGGAATTTCACGAAGTTCCAAATAAAAAGAGAGTTGAATATAAAAAAGGGAACACCTAGTAACACCGAATATCACAAGCTAATTTTGACAAAACGTATCACAAGCTAATTTTGACAAAACGTATCACAAGCTAATTTTGACAGATTCGAACCCGTAGACCGCGGCTTCGAATCTGGGCTCGCAATTTAGGGTTTCTCGGAATTTATGTGCGAAAGTTAATGTGAAATTTGCTATGAAATTTTTGATGAAGGAAAATACCGTGATAAAGCCTGCACGTCGAAGGAGGTTCACAACCCTATTAAAACGTGTCAAATCCCCAACCCGCATTAGGCCAGTGTGGCGGACTTTGGCCTAAACCATCGCCTGATAGGAGACCTGTGCCCAGCAGTGGGACTTATAAATGGATGATGAAAATACTATGTCATTGCCAATAATTTTGCTGATGTGCTTAATTAGGACTTAGACGTCAAATAAAACTACCCCAACACTAGTTTATCCATTGTAAGTGACAGTTTGGATATTGTTATTAAATTTAATAACACGATTTCTTACAGGTCCTGCACGCCCACCCATTAACGCAAACACAACGAACCCAACTCCTCGCCCAGAACAGAAGCATCACCCAGCTGCCAGCTGTGGTATCTCTGGCCACTTTGGGCGAAGCGAAAACGTCCAACACAGCATTATTAAAGGCTGCACCTGGAGTTACACAGTTCTTCGAAATTAAAGGCGGACAGCTCGGAAAAGGTAATTTTTTTTTCAAAAGATCTGTAACCATGGATAAAACTCAAGAGGATCGGTAATTTCCATATCGCCGGGGATAGTGCAAAGGCGCGCATGTAGCATTGGTAAACGGCGCGTATATTCACGAGATCAAATTTTACATTTTGAGGGTTTAAACGCAGTGGTGGATTTGCAAGGTTGGCCGCCCTAGGCCCCAGGTCATGTAGTTAGTACCAGCCGCCTCTTTCTCAGCACTCATCATATACTGGTAGACTACATAATGAATTTACTTTATTGCCAACTTTTGTCGAAATCGATTCAGAAAACTACAATAGCTGTCAGTGGCCCGCCATAATGTGCGTTAATTTATTTCCGGATTGGTAACAATAGATTCCAGTTAATCATGCTAATTTGGTTGCTACGACGTTTACGCGGCTTTGGTTTGGCCACTAACTTACCAAAATGGCAACTTCATAACGTATGCTAATTACGCGTAATTGCACTATCCCCTACGATATAGAAATTATAACTCGAAAAGAAGTCCGAAACCCGTCTTGTGTTTAGATGGCGTTCGTCGATAACCTGGAAATAGTTTATATTATATAAATGACCATGGATATCATGGATATGGATATGATGAATTTACAGGCGCATGGGACTTGTCAATTAATGTCTCGGGGCATCCAGTCTATAACCAGAAATAAGAGTCAAAATGTCATACAATTTGTTTGAAAACTATTCTGCCAAATCATTATTGTGACAACTGCGCTCCGATTGGCCAGCCCGAATTCGAAACAATTGACAAACACTTCAAATAGTGACCGTCAGGATGGCTGGTCGCCTGTGGCGCCAGACACTGAGTGTATATTCAAGTATTACTACCTATTTGCTACTGTTTGCTACCTTTTCTAAATAATTGCTACCTATGATATATTCTGAGAAATTAAAAAAAAATTGACCAGCCATTCTGATGTCAGGATGGCTGGTTGCCTCTTTGTTCAGCATGAAGGGAGCAGTTTTTCCAGAAGTATGTATTACCAATAATTGCTACCTATTTGCTACTTTCATGAATTAAAGGCATACGCTTCATATCTACATTCATTTAAAAAATGTAACCGAATGAAAATTTTGCGAAAAAGTGCCTGACTAAACTTAAAAAGCAAATGTTTTTAGTGCTTTATTGCCATAATATAAAGGGCAGGCGTTCAACAATTACTTCGAGGTGAACTAGTCTGGTGAGATTGCTAATGTATAAAACCGAAAGGGTAGGTAACCATCATAACGCAATATTAACAAATTTAGTTGTAATTATATGTTTGTTAAAAAAATTATATAGTTTTAATTTTTTAACAAAAGTTTGAACAAAATCTTTATCGTAGTTTGTTACAGTGTACTTACACAGTGCTATTTTATTCGAAGGCCAGTTAATTATAATTTTTGTGTTAGCCTCACATTCTTTGCAAATTAATGGAATTTTAAGGATTATTATTTTATTATTCTTAGAAATAGAATACAGTTTAAATATCCAACTGTGTGCAATGGGATCAACCTCCCAAATCTTTTCGCGCAAAAGATGGGCGCACTAATGTTTAGGCAAGCGATGTTTCATTCTAAATACGATCTCAGGTCCATGATTTAACTTTATACGTTTACTTAACGGTTGCATTCGTTCCCACTGATAGGTATCAATAATAAAATTATAAATTACTGTTTTACTGACTGCTACTTCGTCCTTGTATTCCTTTTTTGATTGATTATCATTAGACAGGATTTTGTTTTGATCTTCATAACGAACAGCAGGATTATCAGGGCCACTGAAGAAAATGTCGAAATTTTTCTTTACAGAAATATATAGTGCCTGTGTGGAAATTTTATGTGATAAACGGTACCAATTTCACTAAACAGTGGATCGTTAGGCGGCGGTAAATCAGATTTACTGGAAAATACTTTTTTTTGCAGTAATGCATTTTTTTGCTCATCGAGTGGCACAACAAACTTCCTCCCTCTTTTCATTGTCGCCAAACACTACCTTAACCAGAAACATAAATATTAAACTCAATATTAGCAATAGCAAAACCTTTGAATCCGTATATATCAGATAAGTTAAACTAAAACAATTTGATCCACTTATGACAAATGACACACATATTGCGTTATGATGGTTACCTACCCTCTTGGTTTTATACATCTGCAACCTCACCAGACTAGTTCGCCTCAAAGTAATTGTTAAACGCCTGCCCTTTATATTATGGCAATAAAGAACTAAAAACTGTTGCTTTTTTAGTTTAGTCAGGCACTTTTTCGTAAAATTTTCAATCGGTTATATTTTTTAAACTAATGTAGATATGAAGCGTGTACCTTTCATTCGTGAAGGTAGCAAATAGGTAGCAATTATTGGTAATATATACTTCTGGAAAATCTGCTCCCTCCACGCTGAACAAAGAGGCGACCAGCCGTCCTGACGTCAGAATGGCTGGTCAAAATTTTTTTTAATTTCTCAGAATATATCATAGGTAGCAATTATGTAGCAAATAGGTAGCATTTCTTGAATATACACTCAGTGCCAGACGCCACAGGCGACAGCCATCCTGACGGTCACCTTCAAATAGACCAGTTTAACTTGCGTTTTGCTATAATGGGCGAAAATTGCAAAATTACATATTTAATTACTGATGAAATGGTGGTTCCTTTTGTTTTGTAATTAAATGTTTTTCCCAAACCACCGACTGGAACAATTACAATAAATACAGTATCTTTTTGGAATATACGGAGACGTACATACAGGTCAGTTGTTGGCGCTGTACTATTTCAGTTTTCTAATTTGTGATTTCAGCGCTGACGAGAGTTATATAAGATATAATGCCCATTTACGCGATGAGTTGCCGCGGATGGATGGCCCTTATTTTATCTCTATTTCTGGTTACATACTCGATTTCTCAGGGTGACTGACGCAGTGGAAGTACCCCTCAATCTTTGCGATTTAAAGTTCTTGAGTGGCACTGCAACTGTTATGGACAGGCGTGTCGTTTTCCGCCAGGCGCACGACGTCCCGTCTCTTGCTATCATAACAAAAATCAATTAAATCCTTGTAATATTATTCAAATATTGAGCCATGAACCTTTTTTCTATGTTATTTATATTATTTATTATATTATTATATTATTTTGTATTAATAATTATTACAAAAGTAGTGGAGTTACTTCACAAAAAAATCAATAATCCATTTGATCAAAAAGCAACAGCAACGTCAGTTGAGGCATCTGTAAAGATACCGGCTGCAGTAAGGTTTTTTCAAAAATTTCTCACTAGATGTCACTAGTGGCGACGAATGCCAAAAGCCAGTGCAAAGATCTATAACAAAAACACATTGAAGAATTTCGACAGCTCGGTATATTGACCTGTGACTCAGTTGGTAAGAACAATGCTACGGTGCAGCATGGTCGAGGGTTCAAGTCTCACCCACCGTGTCGAATACATTTTTCTATATATATATTCTGAACTTTGATAAATTTGCGCATCAATAGAAGGCTTTACTGTTGATGAGACGAAAGATTTGTGTCGCGATCGAAGCAAATAGAATGAAGAAAAAAACAAGCCTGTGGGATTTTTATTTTAAATTTAATGATAAACAAAATACTGTTGTAACTTAATTTTTTAATTTATTTAATTTTTTTTATGATACTAAGTGATGGCACGAACAAGACGCGCCTGACGGTAAACGACACGCCTGTCCATAACAATTGCAGTGGCACTCAGAGCTTTATATTGCAAAGATCTGAGATGTACTGCCTTGGCGCATATCATAACCTGCGACATAAGTTGAAAAGTCCTATGTGCCGGTAATTTCACTAGCACCCCTTACCCATCAAAACCGGAACACAGTAATGTTGTAAGTAACTTCTTTTGAAGGACCACATCTAGTCAACGTCGTAAGACAACCTCAACCCGGGAAACCAACAGTGGCGAGATTAGACTTGAACGACGCTAAGAAACGACAAGTCATCACCACCTTCGACGGTACAGCGCTCAAGGGGAATATACAGGCTATCACGCGGCCGCATAGGGTTAATGTCAACCTGGACGGACGACAGGTATGTTATTTTTTGTAGTTCACCTTCAGGGATATTGTTTTATTGTTGTTTCCATCATTTTGACCATCTGAATCTGGGGAAGTGTTCGAAATAATAATAATATTTATTTAGTGAAAATTGTAGTATATAGTGCTAAAATAATTAACTTAAGTACAATTGGCTAGGGAACGTACTCTTGAAATAGATGAAAATACTACAGTCGATCTAGGAAGTCCTCTATCTCATCATGCTTTTCCTCTTAGTAAAAGCAATGGGTGCCATGTACCAGCGTTTCCGAGGACGATTACCGGACACCCACGTTACGTCACATGTCGCGGTCCATATGTGTAAATAAATAGTGTTAGAGTTTATTGTGTAAGTTAGCCTATAAGGTATGTATTTATGGATCTTTTGTAACTTGAATATAAATAAATAAATAAATTATATATATATAGCTCGTGTGTGTGCGTGCATATATTTGTGTGAGTAACTGTTAGTGACAAATTCAAAACAAACCGATTATACCGCCAAACAAATTTTAAAGTCCTCTACAGCGTATGTGCACAAATAATTATCATATCTGTGACAAAAAATCAAGATGGCGGATTTAAAATAGCGACAAAAGTGTTGCCCACGTACAAGCAGCTTTTGCAGTCGATAAATATTATATTGACTGAATGTTGGACACGCTTAGAAAATAATAACCGAATTTGTGTTTGTCTGAATCATGTCGGCCCATTCGTCCAAATGCTGGGCATTTTCATTTGAATTCTTAATTTTTTTTAAATTCTTACCTTAAATTTAGCAGTATGTATAAAAATACAAATTGGAGATAGACCTTTCTATACCATCCTTATAGTAAGAGATATTACTTTAAAATAAATAAATAGAAATAGGAGATATATACAGGGTTACTGGTTAAGTCGACCTATTCCCGTTAAGGGCGTGTAGTTTACATCATTTCTGACTGATTTGTCTCTGAAACACCCCATCCTAAACCTAACCGTTTTCGAGATATTTTAATTTAATTGATTATTATAAAAAATACCCGATTATCGGCTATTAGCTCAGCTGATTTGAAATTTATGACTCTTATTATTACTATTATTTGATTTTTACATGTAAAATAAGATGCTTTATGACCTCAATAAACAATATTGTATGTAAAATAAATAAATACGTCGTTGTAGACGATCAAAAGTTACAAAAACGACTAAAAAATTCGAAAGTTTATTTTTCTTTCAAGGATATCTAAAAAAAATATTATGGCGCCTATTTTGCAGATGTGCCTAAAAACAACTACATCTTATCAGCTATCCAGAGAGGTATAATAATCTGGGGTTAAATCAAAAGTTTGTTAAAAAAAACTTAGTTTCATAGGCAACAACGGAGGCAGAAAAAAATAAATAAAACAATAAGTGAGTACTAATGACTAAATTTATTGACATTTCTAGTTTACAGGTCTAAATTTCGTGTTCAACATGTCCGCCTCTGTTTTGCACACATCATCGCATTCTTTTGCGAAGTCCACTTTTCACTACACCAGTTGTTAATTCTCTTCTTATTTCGTTCGCCGCATTAATAATTCTCTCTCTCAATATTTCGACAGATGATATCGGGTTTGGCTCACTGTAAACAAGACTCTTCATGTGCCCCCACACATAAAAATCCATGGGAGTTAAATCTGGACTTCTAGCTGGCCAGGGTAAAGGCCCACCTCTTCCAATCCATTTGTTGGGATAATTTGTGTCCAGCCATTGTCTGACACTTGCCCTGTAATGTGCAGGGCAGCCATCATGCTGAAACCACATATCTCTAATTAGATGGAGTGGCACATCATCTAATAGGTCACTTAAGTCTCTTCGCAGGAAATTTTCGTAGTGCTCCCCATTTAAATTGTCGGGGAGAAAGTAAGGCCCGATCAAATTATTAGCAATTATGCCCATCCACACATTCAGGCTAAATCTTCGTTGTGACCCCTTTACCCTCTTCTTATTGGGATTTTTTAATTCTTTCGGAGACCAATAATGAGCGTTGTGGTAATTGGTAATCCCATCTCTATCAAATTTTGACTCATCTGTCCACAAGATTCTTTTAAGGAAAGTCGGGTCTTCGATGTCAGCATTCAGCATAAATCTGCAGAAATCTAATCTTCTCGCTGGATCTCCTTCATCGATAGCGTTTACCGGCGTATAATGGTATGGGTATAGGCCCGCTGTGTGAACGGTAAACCATACTTTCCATTGCGAGAGTCCCAAATCATGGGCAACAATATTAGTGGAAGTGGTTGGATCCAATCGAAATCGTTCCACTATTTCGTTGGTTTGTTCATCGTCGTCATCAATCACACGTGGTCTTCCCACGTCTGTACGTCGTCTTGAAACGGAGCCAGTTTCTCGAAGTCTTCGATAAACTCCGTCGAACACACTAACATCCGGCACTCGACGGTTGGGATAGCGTGTAATGTACTCATTGCGAGCATGTGCAGACACACAGTTGCAGTATCCGTAACAAATTAGCATGTCAGCATATTCCTCATTTGTGTAGGTCGTCATCTTCCACAGTTCCGTATCACAAGCACAAATCAGAGTCCAGTTAACAAGCACAGTCGAGAATCGGAAGAAACAGTCCAGAAACACAGCCAAGTCGAGTAGGAAATAGAGCACAAAATAATAACGCATCTACCATGGACGAATCACATAAGCAGACTAACAATTAGCAAGTTAAAAACCAAACACAGACGTATTGTGTTCCCAAACCAGTTCCGGTACATTATTTTTCTCACTCACACCTGCAAAAATCGTACGATGTCTCGCTCGCACGCACTGCAGCCCCTCAACAATTGTCCTGTAAGGATTAACCAAAAAGAACAATAAAACTGCTACCTGGGGACTCGCAACTAAGTTTTTCTAGGAATTTTTATTAAAAACCCTAGATTGTTGTACCTTGTTGGATAGCTGATAAGATGTAGTTGTTTTTAGGCACATCTGCAAAATAGGCGCCATAATATTTTTTTTAGATATCCTTGAAAGAAAAATAAACTTTCGAATTTTTTAGTCGTTTTTGTAACTTTTGATCGTCTACAACGACGTATTTATTTATTTTACATACAATATTGTTTATTGAGGTCATAAAGCATCTTATTTTACATGTAAAAATCAAATAATAGTAATAATAAGAGTCATAAATTTCAAATCAGCTGAGCTAATAGCCGATAATCGGGTATTTTTTATAATAATCAATTAAATTAAAATATCTCGAAAACGGTTAGGTTTAGGATGGGGTGTTTCAGAGACAAATCAGTCAGAAATGATGTAAACTACACGCCCTTAACGGGAATAGGTCGACTTAACCAGTAACCCTGTATATAACTTTTTAATTTGAATTTAATATAAATAACCCAATTCGCCTGCCATTATTAAAATGTGTCTGACCAAAAATTGATTTCGATACTAATTGACGAACTGTCAAAATAAGAAAGAATACAATAACGCAATCAGTAATCACTAGAACGTCGTAACATTTACAATTCGGACATTTTAGGCAAAAAAGTAACTGCTTTCACAATCTGTCGATAAAATTGTCGACAATAACTACATGACTATTTAAAATTGTACATAAACTGGCATTTTGCTTTGGGGTAATGCCGCCGATATTAATAGAATCTTTGTCCTGCGGAAACGTGCGGTTAAGGCAATTTGCAATCTGTGCCCAGAGTGTCTTTGAGAAATAAGTTTATAGAGATTAACATTCTTACACTAACGTCACAGTATATTTAAATTAATTTTTCATGAAAAATAGTGACAGACATAACATTAATACGAGTAATAAAAATAAACCAAGTATTGGGAAATGAAACTATTTTTCCGTATTTAAATCACGTATATTTGTTTTTTTAATCAAACGGTTCAGGCCCTTTACTGGTCCCATGCTCACGGTTGACTGGTCAACCCAGTCAATGTGAAACAGTCGCGAAAACCTAGAAACTAGCTATTCTTGAGAGTCGTCTTCATAAAATCTCAAATTCATTTATGAGGCAATGTATAACACTTCTATAATAAGATTCCGGTTGATATTCTATATAAAATTTGCCATTCACGAGGTTTAAAACTATAGTGAAACAAAAACTTTATACTGAAGGTTTATTGTACAGCTTCTGCGTACTTGATTGACAAAAATTGGTGGTGTGACCCGTTTAGCTCTTCCAGGTAGTCGCGATCCAAGATGTTTAAATTAAAATATATTGTAATGATAAATGAATTCAAATGTGTATTTACAAAGAGCAAACCCCTAGATATTCTTCTCATAGGACTCTGCCTTACGAATGAGCAGTAGAGTTGAATCAATATGACGATTTCAAGTGTAATTTTCTTAAGTATGAAACAAAGATGATTTTAATTTGACAAGTAACCAACCCCTTACGCAGATCGTCCGCGCGGCGTTGCCGGCGGTGCGCGCGCAGCACGTGCGGCACCAGATCCAGGTGAAGAACCGCACCTTCCAGGTGGCGGCGCCGCTGGCGCGGGCCGACGCGGCACCACTCGCCGTCGCCTCGCCCGCTAAGACCACCTCCATCCCCAGCTCCGTCGTCGCCAACCTGCTGCACAAGAACGTGCAGCTGCCCAAGGGTGAGGCTCGAGTCTTTCGTTCGCTCGATTTCCTATACTATTTAAGTTCATATTTTTGAATTCAGGCTGGTTGCAGCTGTGCGAACGGAATATCCGCCTTGGAGCCGTCCGCATGCGTAGGATCCGCAGTGCTTTTGAATCGAGTATTTAACTTAGTGCGCTCGGGTGACTTGTGAAACGATGTTCTAATGCCACACGTGTTAAACCGTTTCGGTGCTCCTTGCGGACAATCCGTAGATAAACCCGCACTGCTCTGAAATCAGCCTTAGATATTTATACAAACATTGCGTTGAATTGCTATGAATCACGTAATGGTAGAAGACATCAAGTCCATATCGTCGATTGTTTTTTATTTAACATATTTTATTTGACCATAACATTGATTTTAAATGCCTAATTAACAGCATCCTCTTAACGCTCTGTAGTAAAAATTACTGTTTCGCATTTATATCGTATCAAACCAAAATACTGCAAGTCCCAGTACAGTGTTTTATAATTTTATTACAAGAATCTGTAGGCTTTTACGAAGACAAAATAAATTTATTAGTTTTTCAATAGAAATAGCTTATTTTGCAGACTAAAACTATAATGGCTCGATAGAATTTTGTAATATGTAATGTATAAAGTAAATTAAATGTGTATTTTAACGTTATTGACCTCAAAATAAAGAAACTGAAAAATGATTTTTCCGTTTTTCTTAAAATGTTTTTAATATTACAGTGTATTGCTTTAACACGATACACTTAAGGTTCTTTGGCCTGTCTGGTGCCAGTTTCCCAAAAATGCTACTTCTTAAATTTCCTTCGTTTTATTATTGAAGGTGCCATACTACACCCTAACCTGTGAATACCTATATAAATATTCAAAGCCCCTGAATAATAAATATCGGGCGGTGGAATGAGGATCAAAAACCTGTGAATACCATAAGGACGAGATACAAATCTATTGAATTGGTGTTAAAGTAATTGTAACGTTTCCACAGGGAGTCAAAAGATAGCCATTAGCGGCGGTACAGTGCAAACAGTTCAAGCAGTGTCCGGGGTCGGGACCGTGTCGAGCGTAAGCGGTCTGGCCGCGAACGTACAGGCCATCGCCTTCACAACTGCGCAGCTGAAGGCCAGGCAGGCCAGGCTTATTGCGCAGCCCAGGCCGCAGCCTAGAACGTAAGAATGTAATAGTATCTTATGTGGTAGACATAAGTTTATACTTTATCAATTGGTGGTGGTAGTCGATATCCTTGTTTCAATTTGTGTCAGGCGAAAAATCCAAGATAAAACATGTCCACACAAACCCAGTCCACAGCCAGTGGCGAATTTGCCCTAAGGCCCAGTAGGCCCGGGCTTAGGGCGGCCAAGCGTGACGAAAAATTCACTGATGATTACAAGAAATTACTCAAAGTACCTATAATAATATCAAGTAAATAAGTATATGATGAGTGCTGAGAAAGGGGCGGCTGGTACTGACTACAAGGCCTGGGGCCTAGGGCGGCCAAGATTTCAAATCCGCCACTGTCCACAGCCTAGGACGTAAGGATTGGGTTATCACACCCGGTAGCCACAAATACAAGTGTGTTATTTGCATTTAGTGTCAATGCATTTCTGGTCATTTTTTTAACTCATCTAACGTAATCTGTTCACAAAAGTACGTGCATTCCTCCATAAATATTACACTCGGCAGTAAAATGATAGAACTTGAAAAATAATGAGTATGTATAAGTTTTAATTTCAATGTCTCAAGAATCGCAGGTGTTAATATCATTTTAGACCTTTCAATACTCAATTCTATCTACTCAATACTAAATTCTCAACTTTACAGGTGAAGATTTTATCTTGACCTGTAAAGTTGAGAATTTTGGTTTACGATGGTTTTACATAGGAGGGATCGGTTTAGGGTCGTACTCATGATTTAGTGTCGTTATTAGAGATATCGGGGGTGTTACCCCCAGGCGAATGCTAAAAAGGCTAGGTTGATGGCACAACCCATTTACTAAAGTTAGTTGGGTGAATTCGAGAGCATTATTTGATGGTAACTGCTATTTGAGTCCTTAGATGTTACAGCTCATTTGCCATAAGCCTTAACCGTAACATATAAGGTGTAAATGTTTGCTAACAGAGAAATCGTGGAGGCGTCGACTGCGCCGGCTACCTCGACCTCTTCAGAGACGCCCATGGAGGAGGGCGATGAGGCCGCGACCAACGGCGCCGTCCGCCGCCGCCCTAATGACACGCTGCCCATGGAGGTTACGTGACAAACGACCTCTGTCCTCGCCTCTGCCGCCAGCGGTAAGTCAGAGGTCACCTTCACCTCTAAAGTCAAAATCACCTCTGACAAATGCGCCTCCACTGTCAAAGGCGCCTCTTCTGCCAAAAGCGTCAAACTCGCCGACGTCAAAAAACGTCAATGCGATGTGGACATCGTCAAGGAACGTTCCGAACCGTCTATTGTCAAAAAACGAGATGCCAATGCGAAAGTAAGCTTCGAGATCTTAAAACGCGATTCGATGGCGTCCATGTTAGACAAGAAACGTATATCGAGCATAAAACCTGTATGCACGGTGACGTCGTCGGATATTGTCAATCCTGTTGTTATAAATGAGGCAACTACGTCAGAAGTTGTCAAGAAACGTCAATTTGGTCCAAAAACAACATCAGATATCATCAACAAACGCGAAGTAAAACCTGCTGAAAAAACAAAATTTAGCGGCATTAATAAGCATAAGGTTAAAAAAGCAGTAATGCTATCAGCTGTGGAAGTGAACGCACTGAAACTAAGAGATATAAGGGCAAGACCTGGTGATACAAATATAACTAGAAACTTACTTTCAAAACCCAAAGTGAGAAAAGTTGGCGGTTTTACAATTTTTAAGAAAACAGATGTCATTAAAGCTGTTAAAAGTGATTCGCCAAAACCATCTGCGAATAAAACAGAAAGAACAACAAGAGATATATTAAAAATTGCCTGTGAAGCCTTGGACTTTCCAAAAATCCCTGACAACGAAGTTAAAAGCAAACCGAAAAAAGCAAAGACTTCAAAAGTGACACAAATGAGTAACATTCCCATTACTTCTACGTCTGGTTATTACAAAAGAAATTCGTGTGATCCATCGGGCTCTGCAACATCAGGGCAGTTCGTGAATAGTCAACAAGTGACAGAATTTACAGTGACATCAGGTAATTCGGCAAATGCGCTTAACGCAGACGACGTCAATATACTGAATATTGCTGCAGGGATTTCAGAGATAGACGCAGATACGATTCTACCAAACAATGATATTGGTAAAACCGAAGATGTACCCACCGATATAGACTTACAGGGGAACCTTATTGTTCTTAAACCGACCGATTTAGAAAGCACGATCGACGATCAAACGCTGCCTATTCTAGTTTTCTAGCCCAGGTCTCCTTAACTCGATCGAGTTTTATCAACGAAGCCGTGTTTCCCGTGAAAAAAAGACTATTTAACTTTTTAAGTTTCCCAAAAAACGTTAATGCTAGTGTATGAAAAATATATAAATAGTTTTTTTGTATAAAATTGTGATTGTTAATTAAAAAATGTAAATGAAAATTGTGTATTTTTAGTGTTTAACTCTCGCTTTGTTTTTAAGTTGACGCCATTTTGCGTATATGTTGTACAAAATGGCGGATTGTGGCGGGAAACACCGCAGCGTTAGATAAATCGACGATTCTTGTGACACATGTGTAATCTTTTTTAGTTTCGATTTTTAATTTATCACTGATTCGGGCCTTCTACATAAAATACTATTATTAAGATCTGAATACAAAGCGAGTAGTAAAAGCGCGCTGCGTTCTCCAATAGAAAACGTGCAATAACTTTCTATGTTGTTCTAGAACCTATATTCGGCACTAGATGGCGCCACTTACTAGAATTGATATTATGTCATTTAAGTCCTGACAAATCAATATTGAGTTCTTGCCATGTTGTGCGTTTCTCTAATGACAACAGCAACAGTGGTATCAAAAGTCAATATCTGTACCACCATTTCAGGATCGAATAGTAACATGTCAGGCTTTTGTTGCTATATCAATTTGTTCTAAAATTCTTTTAATGTAAATCTGATCGGAGAGACAGCCAAGTTTTGACACTTTCTGTAGAACGCTACGATACCAATAGAATGCGCTTGCCTAGGTGTCAATGCGGTCAAACCGCTTATATAGGTTAAGATGATTTAAAAAATAAAATTACAACCAACGTCCACAGATTTATTTAATTTACCAAAGTATATAACTAACATTACTTAAAAAGCAAAAACAATGAGCACGGACAAAATAACGTTTATAAATCTGTCATTGGCTGTCAACATCTAGTTAATAACCAGACGTAGAGACAAAATGTCATTCATGTCATGTCATTCGAAACAAATGACTAGTGTCGTCAATTGTTTCACTTCAAATCGACCAGTTTAACTTGAGCTTTGCTATAATGGTCGAAAAGCAAAATTACATATTTCATATTTAAGTACCTATGAAATGTTATTCCGTTTCTTTTGTAATCAGATGTTTTGCTGTTTTTCCCAAATCACCGAATGGAACAGCCCCCATTGTTAGAGATATTATCTTTATTACAAGAAATACGGAATATTTTTGGAATATACGGAGACGTACACACAGGTCAGTTGTTGGCGCTGTATTATTTCAGTTTTCTAGTTTGTAATTGCAGCGCAAACGAGAGTTGATATTTAAAAGTGATGTAAGGCCCATTTACCTGATGAGTTGCCATGGCTGAATGGTCCTTATTTCGTCTCTATTTTTGGTTATATACTCGATGGCTGTCAAACTTGTTAACAACATATCTGTAGTAAAAGTAAGATCGCAATAGATGAAAGGATTTGATCCACAGACATAGCCCATTTGTCGAACTTGGTAACGTACACTACATCACACACATTTACAGTCCTAAAACTGATAATTTTGTGCACTTATGTGAGGGTTTGTGAGAGTCAGACACCCGCAAATGCTCATTTGCACACAACGTCCAATTCGTATCACTTCCGAATCCGAGAAATGACGGTCCGAAATGTCACACAGATAATTTTAAATCGAATCAGACTTAGTGCACAAGCGACATCGGAAGTGGGTCCGAGTTTTCCAGATTTGTATAGTCTCGTATTATTTTCTTTCTTTTCTCGGCAGACCCGCTCAGTACACCGTAGACGTGATATTTAGTCCGCCATGGACCAGTCATCTAACCATATAATGTGATTATTTTCGATATCCATTCCTTAACTTTAAAAATTAAACCATAACTGTGAATCCGATTTCAAGTTCCATAATTACAATAACTTTTTATTCCAAATTCATTAGCAGAGTTCAGCATTCTACTAGCGCCACGCAGCCGGACTATCTTTGAAATTCCAATAAAACTCAATACTTTTGGACTCCAATTTCTGCCCGCGACAATCTATAAACTATCTATAAACTAAATTTTATCTGCGTCTGTGTAGCCGAATCGGCGTGATCGTGTAACAAACATCTATCCAAAATCATTACCAATACAGCCATTGTCCATCGTACATAGGCCTTTTCCATAGAGTGTGGTTTCGGGCCCACGATATCTAATTTTGACCTATCGTCAGCTGTCATCCATCCAATGTCCAGAGGCATCTAGACGGGTAACATTTTTCATTTTACTACAATTTTAGGGGCTGTTTGCACAGCTGGTATATTCTTCAATATTGAAAATGGATTCTCAAGTAACAATTGTACATATTGATGTGCGTACGTAAAATGTATATGCATTGGTATTTTGGCTTGCCTACGTACCACCACAGGTCTTCGGCCTGGCGGTCGAACACAGACTGAATCCCTCTCAGTGTTATGTGACGTGTGCGCTCGAGATAAATCAACACTATAAATCCTCTAATCTATAACCACATACACTACAATTATATACATTAGACAATTATCTAACTTACATGAATAAATTCAAGGTGCACTTGGACGTCATAACCCCAAACAAGTAATCGTTAAAAGTTTTATTGTATTGGTTTGAAAGTCAAAGAATTTTTTAAGAAATTTCCATATGTGAAATAAATTTACACTTGAAAACGTCACTTTTAAGCTACTGCTCGTTCACTATGCCCACTTCCCTGAGAAGAACGAGCAAGAAACTCTAGGGATTGTTCTTTTCAAATAAATTTAAATGCTATGGAGTACACTTTGAATCAAATTTGTGTGGAATCTAGTGCCATGTCGTCTTTCCATATATCTTTATCTAACCCGTAGTCTTCAGTTTTGTAATATTTTGTAGTGTTTAAACTTAGGAAGTGATAATATGCTCCGGAATATTATTGTAAAAACGTATACAGTTTCCCATAAAAGAGTCGTTTCCCTTGATTAAACGAAAACGTGATACCACGAGCTCTAAGGTTAATATTATTATGTCTTCTTTCTTACTGAAACTATGTATATTTTTACGGGCATATTAAATATTTGATGTACTATGATGCCACAGTCATGATACAAAGTAATAGTGAAAATAGGAAACGTTTCTAAGCACACACGATAAAAGAGTTCAACCTTGCATTGCGGATGTTCTCTGTACTATTGCAGGGAGCCAACACTATATCGAAAGTCTTGCCTGTGTACCAAATCCTTTAATTTATTGCGTCCTTAAAACTCTGCCCCGAAATCAGTGAATTTAGTATAAACGCGATTTTTAAAGTTATGATTAAGTGGCTGTGAATTAGACAAATTAAAAGCCTTCTACGCAGTTGCCAGCTTTCTTCAATAAATACATTTAATAATGTGAATCCGAATATATAACGTATTCAAACTTCAGTGTGCTTTACTAAATATAAAGGTAACACATTGAAGGCATATTGTCTTTTTACTACCACATACTAAAATAATAATCACAAAACAAAACTAAGAATAACTTTTCTTTTAAATTACTATATTGTAGGTATAATATGCTGTAGACCATAGTTTAACAAAGTGGTCTCTACCGCGTCGCAGTGGGAGCTGAAGAGTCCTAGGGGGCGGAAGCAAATGGGGGGCGTTGATGCTGTCCAGGGGGTGCTATCGCATTTTAAAAAAAGGATGAATTATCTATATAAATTACACTACAAATATATTTTTTTTTCCTTCTGATTTTTTGTGTTAAGTTAATATAAAAAAATAAGTGTTTTCAATAATGTTTTGTGTTGGTGGGCGTTGCAGTTTTTTGTCTTGCCAGCTATAGATTTTCGAATTTTTTTCGGCTTTACAAGTTCTGTGGTCACACCCACCTGAGATGGTAAAGTCATTGACTTATGTTTATTATTAAAACAAACCATTTTTGTAACTGTAGTTTAAAATATTTGCATTAATATTAGACAAGTGGTTGATGACTAATACCATCTCAGTCAGCCGATGGGATCTGAGTTCGAAAAGTTGGCTTGTTTGAAAAAACAAATATACGCGATTTAGAACCGAGGAAAATGGTGTCATTTCCAATGCATAGCAATCGCGAAAATATTAAGAACTCAGAAAAGGTGAAAATTAAAAAATATTATTTAATGCAAGTTAAAAATCTTCAATATTGGAAAAGCAATGAGTAACGATAAAATTATGCAAGCTCATTTTAAATTATTTATAATTAAACCCTATAAAGCTTCTAGTAATTTATGAAATAATGTAAGGGATATCCGGATTATTCTGAGTACCAGTAATGGTATTTGGGACTCGGGCTGGCAACATG